ACACTCTCTACTTCCCTCTATCTCTCTAAATTACTTTGACATTCCTTGTCTCTGAACTGATGTATTTAATAACTATAGATATCTGCTTGCTGAAACTGAGGAGGACCTGAAGCGCTTGCTGCAGAAGGTCAAGGACTGCAGCCTTCAATATGGATTGAAGCTCAATATCAAGAAAACAAAGAGTCTCACCACTGGGCCAATTGGCAGCATCAGTATGAATGGTGAAGAGATTGAGATCGTTAACAATTTTAGTTTGCTTGGCTCCACAGTCAACACTCTTGGTAACAGCAGCGAGGAAATCAGGAGACGAATTGCATTGGGAAAGTCGGCTGTGAGGGACCTCTCAAGAGTACTGAAGAGCAATGACGTCAGGATGGAGACTAAAGTGTGCCTGATCCAAGCTATAGTCTTTGCAGTTATGTATTATGCATCAGAGAGTTGGACAGTGAATAGGGATGATAGAATTGATGCCTTTGAGCTGTGGTCCTGGAGAAGAGTGTTGAATTTACCATGGACTGCTAGGAGAACAAATAGGTTTGTCCTGGAGAAGGTGAAGCCGGAATGCTCCTTGGAGTCAAGGATTCTGACACTTCGTCTGACATACTTTGGGCATGTTGCAAGGAGGGACCAGTCCTTGGAGAGGGACATCATGTTTGGGATAGTGGAGGGACGGCGCAGGAGAGGAAGACCCTCGATGAGATGGATCGATTCTGTGAGTGGAGTGGTAGGAATGACTGTGTTTGAGACGGCAAGGTTGACACAGGATAGAACGACGTTTAGGGCTCTTATACATAGAGTCGCTATGAGTCGCAAGTGACTCTATGGCACACAACAACAACAACAACAACAGTAACAACATATTTGGTCCTTGACTAATTGACTAAGAATGACAGAAGAAGAATCAATGCCTTTGAATTGTGGTGCTGGAGAAGAGTCTTGAACATACCATGGACTGCCAAGAAAACAAATAGGTCTGTCTTGGAGAGGGTGAGACCAAATTTCTCCTTGGAGGCTAGGATTTTGAAGCTTTGTCTCACATACTTTGGGCACATGGCCAGGAGAGACTGGTCCTTGGAAAAGGACATCATGGTTAGAAGGGTAGAAGGACAGCGCAGGAGAGGAAGACCCCAGATGAGATGGATAGATACAGTGACTGGGATAATTGGGGGTTGGTTTGTCGGAATTAGTGAGACTGGCTCAGGATAGGGCAGGGTTCAGAGCTACTGTACACAGGGTCACTATAGGTTGCAGTTGACTTGATGGCACATAACAACAACGACATATTGTGTTGTTACTCATCCATTGTCACTGATTTGGAACTGAGTCAGAGCTGACCCTCCACTGGGTTTTAGAGGCTGTAAATTGCATTGAGGGAGACTGCTTATTCTTCTACCATTAAAGGAAGCAATTACTTATTTTATAGAAAAGAATTCTTCACCATGAGAGTTTTTCAAAGACTTTTCAGTGAATTTAAATTATAATTTGACTTAGATTCTGCTTTCTAGAAGCATACTACTGTGTAATTCAGAGTATATTTTACTGAAAAATACAGGTTATATGGACCTTGAGAGATTTTGAAAGTCATGTAATTACATTTTAAAATAGTTATGTCTAAATGTAATTATGTTTTATATGCCTTAAAGTCTGGTCTCCTTAGAATCTTGAAATAATAATACGAAGGGTAACTTTGAGACTTGTTTTCCCTTTATCTTGAAAATAATATACTATTCAGAAACCAGTGGTTTAATGTTTACAAGGTAAGTAAAACTAATCTGTTTGTTAGACAAATACAACTTTAAAGAGTCCCAGAAAATAAAAATTTAGAGTCCCAGCATTCTCCCAACCAGATTTGTGTCCCTAAGTCCTTTTCTAAACAACAATTCTGCATGCACAATACCAGTTTCAGCACCAATTCTATGAATTAGAAAGAAATCACTACCTTCAGGCATCATGCAGCTGCATTGTGAATGGAATCTCATAATCATTTCAGTTGAAATCTTTTTATAAGCAAGGAGAGTAAATCTCTAAGTAATACAACATGATATTATAGTACTGCTGCTTAGAGAGTGAGAGCAGGGGGAAGCCTGGGTGACTAAGGGAGGTTCCTCACAGCCTTGCTCCCTAAAGTGTGGTCTCTGGACCACTGGATTTCCAGGGGCTTGTTAGAAATGCAGAAACTCAGGCTCCCCATCCCCTGCCTCAATGCAGACACACTGAATTAAAATCTACTGTTTAACATGCTGATTGAAATGTACACTAATGGTTGAAAGCACTGTCCTAGTATTGAGTTTATGTCTTTGGAGGAATTAAACCTGGAAATCGACCAAATAGATATATGGAGTTGTTCTATCTTTATTCATCTCAGTGAAGCACACTCATTTTTTCCTTAGTGAACAAAGCCTAAACTATGGTTAGGACTTGACCTCTGAACGTGTATTTTTGACGAACACTAGTTACATAAAAAAATGAGTGGAAGGCACTTTTCTCTTTTCTGTCACAACACTACTCTGCTGACTATCTTTTATTTGTTCTTCCAGAACCTTTCTCTATCCTGAGGTCTATTCTATACCCTGGCAGGTTAACCTGTGTTCTGACTATGTCCTGACTTCTGTTTGGTATCTCCAACTAAGAGTATCCCATAAGTAGATGGGTGAGGGAGGAAGCAGAGGATGGCCAAGTTATTCCCTGCATGGGTCCAATTGACTATTTCAACCTTTGACGGAATGTACTGAGCTCTATATCTCTTGGTTCAGGACAATTTGCCAGTTTCATAGTCCCATCTATTCGACAGAGTAGAAATATCCCTGCTGTTGCTAGGCTGAGATCTCACATTATCCTTTGGGATTGTATGAGATGTATAACTTTCATGAATTTTTAACAGTCACTTATGAAAATTACTCCATACTCTATTCACTTAAATTTAACGTGTCTTCATTTCCCACCCAAATACTAACTGACAAAACCACTTGCAATCTGGGGCATTGAACTGATGCTAACAGGTTCTGGTTCTGGCAAGACGGATAAGCATTCCTTTGCCTCTTCCATTGAATATAGCTACAAATATGGATAGAATATATAGAATTGCTAGGTCAAACTTTGAAAAGCAAATGACAGTAGTGAGTTATGGAAGAAGATAAAAATCTGAAGTACCACTAAGTCAATAGATAGTTTCCTCTTTTCCCTCCACATCAATATTCTCTGCTTCAGATTAAAGTCAAACTGAAACTCAGAAATGAACAACAAGAAATCAGCTGAGGCTTTCTGGATCTAATCTGAGGAGCAGGCAAGTAGAAACCCCCCAAGCCAAAACATCCCCCACGCACCCACAAGACAAAACAAGAAATTGAACAGAAAAAATAATTTACAATACACTGAAATAGTAACAACAAAACCCCAAAAATACAGACAAAAATCTGTTGCTTTGAGTTGATTGACTCATGGCGTGACCCCGTATGTTACAGAGTAGAACTGTACTTTGTAAGATATTCTTGGCTATTATTTTTTTAGTGGTGCTTTTGAGTGGGTTTAAACTGCTAATCTGGAGGTTAGTTGTTGTTAGGTTGAGTACAACTCATAGTGACCCTATGAACAAAAGATCTGAACCCTGTCCTATCCTGCGCCATCCTCACAATTCCTGACACACAAGAGCCCATTGTGTCAATCCATCTGGTCGAAGGTCTTCCTCTCCTTTGTCAACCCTCCACCCTTCCCAGAAACATGTGTTCTCCAAGGAATAGCACTTCCTAACAACATGCCCAAAGTGAGGCAAAGCCTTATCACTCGTGCCTCCAAAGAGCACTCCAGCTGCACCCTCTCAAAGACATATCTGTTCGTTCTCTTGGCCATCCATGAGTTGTTCAAATCTCTTCTCTAATACCACAGTTCAAAGGCATCAGTTCTTGTTTTGTCATCCTTATTCATTGTCCAGCTCTCAGATGTGCATAGCAAGTGATCAGGAAGACTACGACCTGAATCAGATACACGTTAGTCCTCAAACTGACATAATGACTTTTCAATAATTTGGAGAGATCCCTAACTACAGATTTTTCCAGTGCATAGTGTCTCTTTATTTCCTGACTGCTGGTGTCAAGGGTGTTAATTGTGGATCCAAGAAAGATGAAGTTTCAATCTCTTCTCCATCCATCATGATGTTGCTTATCAGTCCAGTGGTAAGAATCTTTGTTTTCTTGACTTTAAGATGTAATCCATACTGAAGGCTGCAATCCTTGATCTTCTGTAACTAGTGCTTCAAGTGCTCCTCATTTTTAGCAAGCTAGATTGTGCCATCTGCATAAGGCAGGTTATTGATGATCTCCCTCTGAGCCTGATGCCACACTCCTTTCTATGGAATCTAGCTTTTTGAATACTTTGCTCAGCATACAGATTGAGTAAGTATGTAGGCAAAATAGAATCCTGACACACTCCCTTCTTAATTATAAACCATGCAGTGTTTCCCTGCTTTGTTCACACAACAGCCTCCTAGTCCAGACATGGGTTTTGCATGGGCACAATTAAGTGCTCAGGGACTCCCATTCTTCTCAATGCCAGCCTAACTTGATATGATCCACACAGTCAAATGCCTTTGCATAGTCAATAAAGCACAAATAGACAATCTTCTGGAATGCATTACTTTTATCCAGGATCTGTCTGACATCAGCCATGGCCTCTTCTAAATCATGGTTGAACTTCTAGAGGTTAGTAGTCAAGTTTAAACCATTTGAGCCACCAAGAGACCTTTTAGAGGAGCAGACAGGAAGAATTATAATCTTCAGAGATAGTGTAACAAATCCTTCATTTACTCTTTTCTTCTCTTGAACCCATGGAAGGGGATGCTTAATGTTTGAGAGAAGAAAAGAGAAAATGAAGGACTTATTAAACACTGTGACTTAGGACCCCTAGCAGGTTGTTGGTGATAGCAGGGGTAGCAGTGATAGGAACAATAGAGAAGACGTATAGCTGCTTAGAACTCTGAAAGATAGGAACCTTCTTCTTTAGCCAGGGTATCTGCAGTTCTGAGAGGGTGGGAAACAGTGTTGCTTTTATTTTTTTTTCTATTTCTCTCACCTCCTGGTCCTCTAATGAGTACCAGTGAGGAAACAGTTGACAAAGTAGGATAACTAAAGCCTCAGCTTTCTTTCTTGAAGGGATTATCAGAGAGCCAGGAATTACTAGGGGGGTTGAGAAGAGAGAAGAGCTCAGGAAAATAATTCTGTAGACTTATTAATGAACTCCTTATGTGAAGGTGTGGAAAAAACTGAGAAAACCAGGCTATGAGATAGACCATGTTCCATATCCTAGATTGGCTGCTGTCTGATATGCCCTTGGGACAGATTTGAATAGCACTGTAAGACTTTAAAGTGGGAACAAAACAGTGGACTAAAAACTCACAGAAGGCTTTATAACCTGATGACAAACTGCTTGGTTGGTTCTCTAATACAAAAATATCAATATTCTCAAAATAATTTTAACGACATTCATAGTATCCTACTAGAATATTCTAAATACCAGTATGCAATCCAAAATTATATGGCATATGAAGAACCAGGACAATTCCAACTTGTGAAATCAACAAACGGCAATCCTGAGGTTATCAAGATGCCAGGATTACAAATTTATTCTTATTTTTTATATTGGAGTGTGTGTGTGTGTGTGTGTGTGTGTGTGTGTGTGTGTGTGCCGTCAGATAGAATCTGACTGGTATAGGAGGAGATTGCCTCTCCTACAGTGGAGCATCTGGTGGATTTGAACCATGTACCTCTGGGATTGCAGTGCAGCTTCTTGCCACTAGGCCACCAGAGCTCTCTTAGGATTACAAAAATGTTAAGTCAGCGATAATTAAAAAAATGCTTTGAGATAAAATTGGCAGATGGGATCTTCTAAAAATATAATCTCTGAGTGCATAAAAACCTTATCCAATAGGTGACAAGGAAGCTCAAAGACTGGGGAAAAAATTACACCACAAAAATTTGGCAATGACAATACAGACAAAAGTAGTCTCATAACAGAAATTTATAAAATATGATGGGATACCTACAAGAGAAAAAAAGACTGATAATTATAAAATGGGCTAAAAACATACAAAGACTCTTTACAAAGGAAGATATTCAGATGGCCAACACACATGAAGAAATATTCACAATCACTGGAAATCACAAAGATGCAAATCAAAACAATAATGAGATAATATCTTACCTAAGTAGCAATAACAATGCTTGACTGGACAGAAAGCAAGAAATATTAGAGAGGATGTGGAGAGACTGGAACTTCCATGCACTGCTGGTGGGACTGTAAAATGGTACAGCCACTCTGCAAGGCAGCTTGACATTTCCTCAAAAAGCTGAACATAGAAATTCCTTATAACCCAGCCATTCCTCTGCTGGGAACATACCCCTAGGAAGTCAGAGGTGTGATATGCATTCCTATGTTCATAGTAGTGCTATTTGCAATAGCAAGAAAATGGAAAACAACTCAAAGGACCATCAACAAATGATATAAAAACGGTGGTATATTCTCACACAATCGAATACTATGAAACATTAAACAAAACAATGAAGTATTTGTAAAGTACAACACAAGATGAGAGACTCTGGAGAGCATTATGTTCAGTGAAACAGCTCAGTCACAAAAGGACAAATACTGCATAAGATGGTTATTGTGATAACAGGAGGGTAACTGGAGCGGGGAGGGGAGAATAGAAATGTAATGAGTTTAGACAAAGAACACTACAAGGAATAAGGCAAGAGAGGATTGACTTGGCAAGAATTGAGATAATGACAATATGCTATGACAATTAGCAAATAAGAACAAGATATAGATATTTGTTTCAAAGGGAAAGGGAAGAAGGGGTATGGAAGAAGGGAGCGTAAATCACCAGAACAGCAGAGATTAGTGGGGGAGGGGGATGAGAAAAGACTTAAAATGCAAGGGGGACTTGAAATGGGAGATAACAGATCGATAGTCATGCATCATATAAAATACAATGTACCTAAATGATTGTAGAAAACAAAATGTACATGAATGAAAGGTGTATAATTACATATAAGTGGATGATGGTACAAATAAATAATATTTTAAAAAAGTGCTTTAAAACATAAAGTCTTCAAGTGAATAGGAAATTAGAAAGCTTCACCAAATAAGTAAAAGATATAAAGAAAAAAAGAACTGAAGTATTTAAGCTTGATAAGATATCAGTGCTTGGGCCCCATGGCAGAGTGGAAATGATGGAGGAGAGAGAATCAATGCACTTGCTTTACCTTAAACTGTCATTGAATCCTTCCACGGCATATTTGGATGTAATGTAGCCTCCTCCACTGATTGCCAGCCTTCCCCCAATACTGGAGACATTGATGACTCTCCCTCGAGCTTTTTTGACCAACGGAAGCAGATTCAACGTGACACTGATGAGTCCAAATAGGTTTACTTCGATGGGTTCTCTATAGTCGTCCACCGTCAGCCAGTCGGTGGGAGCCAGCACTCCAAGAACACCCGCGTTGTTGATCAGACCCCAGAGACCTAGAACAGAGGAAGGAAAAGGAGGTAGAGTGGTGGCTGGTACGGGCATCGTTGATGGAAGTACAGGCCCTGGTTTACACAATGGTGGTGCCATTTCCTCTTTCCTGAAATAGTTTACAGTTTGGAGAAATGATAAAGCGTGTGGGAAGCTAAATGGAAACAAATGTTGGCGTTTGACCAGAAGCCAACTTGCTATTGTGCTCTTTCTGGTTCTGAATGTCAAATACTAGTCATCCGACTGTGACCTTTCCTTTTTAACCTCAGATGTAATTTGTCTGTTTTATCCACCTTGCCAGATATGAAAATTGGAGAATAAGATGCTCTCTGTGTACAAAGAACAGCATAAGAATTGCTCCTCTAGTTGGTAAATTTTATCCCCATAAGATTTTGCAACATTTGTCTCTGGTATTTATCATTTATCTCATGAGGAAAGCAGGAAAAGCCAATTTCCCCCTCTGATCTCTAAATTCACCCCTTGGGACTTGAACCTGGTGATTGCTCTGGTTGTGTCTCACAAGCACACAGACTGAGACATAACGAGTCAGAGGCCACTCTAAGATTGAAGAAGCACACAGCTGATACTTATGAGACAAGTCCTTAGGCCTTGTATGTACAATCTAAATGTGTATTGTTTAGCTTTGGGTACCCTCTGATGCTGCTTACCTGTCTCCCCGACTTGATTCTTCACCCATTGGGCAGTCCTCTTGACATTGTCTGGGTCAGTTACATCCAGAAGCACAGTCTGAAGTCTATCTGAGGTTTGTGCTTTTAAAGCTGTTGATCCGGATTCAGTGAGACAAGAAGCAATTACACGAAATCCTTTTTTGTCAAAAGTTCTGGCTGCTAGATTTCCAAAGCCCGTGTCACATCCAGTGATAAAAATGTACTTATCAGTGACGTCTGCAATCTTTAATTGTCTTTTGTAATTCCACAGAAAGCCACAGAGAATTAGAACGATGAACAACAAGAACAGCATTTTGTTTTCTTCCTGTTATTATGATGAGCACTCCTGTCTCATAAGAGAAGTCCTGAGTTTTCAAAATCAGTGGGGGAAAAAAGATTTTTGATTAGTGTTATAATGCAGGGTAGATGAACTTGAGATATTTTAATGCTTTTTTAGTGGATAAATATAATGCTTAGAAAAGAAACAACAGTAACGCTTATGCAGTTGGTCATAAGATGGCATTTGCAGCTAAACAGCTCTTCTGAAGTGTTATAGAATCTAACTCAGCAGCAGTCAGAGAAATTAAGTAATATTTGGAAGAGGGAAGATTTAAGTTTTTGAGTTGATGTGAATATCTTTAGTGTACTGAATGGTGATGCTAATTTAATGTATAATCTCTCTCAAAGACAGACATTTATGAAACTCTGACTTTACTTCATGAAATCTATGCTTGGAATAGGCTCAAAAGAGAATTATCCTGGCAGTCTCCCAGTGATTTTCAGACTGGCCTTGTGGGTAAGGAGTTGCACAGCCAACCCAACAGTTTGAATCTACCAAGTGCTCCTCTGGAGAAGATGGGCAATCTCCTCTCCTGTGATTTACAGCTTCTGAAAACCCACCAGAGGGGCAGCTAGGAGTCAGTTCTGACCATGTCACATAACAACAGCACTGAAAAAAGGAAACTGTTTTGCTTTTACCACAAAAAACCTTATATTCAATTTCTTATTTTAAATAGATTAATGCTATGTTTCCACCAAACTCTGAAACCATTATCTCAAGGAAGAGAAGATTAAGATGTGGGCCCATCAGTGGGTACAGTGGTTGAGGATGAGTGAAATGACACACAGAAGGATGGTGGATAAGACACAATATCCGAATCTTGGATCCAGACTCTTCAAATTCTGCTCTATCTTGGCAATGTTGTTGTTGATTGCCTTTGAGTCAAGCACGACTCATAGTGACCCTATGAACAAAAGGCCTGAAGACCCTCTACAACTATCGACATTTATCAAAGATCATGGCATTTCCAGAGGCATGTTGTTTAGGGAATGGATGGCACTCCTGCAATATCTCCTTTTTATTTTTGCTCCTTCTCCCTCAAGTCTCATTTATTTAACTCTTGAGGATTGAGACTGTGTATAAACAGTTTCTCAATATTTTACATTCGTGGCCTTTTACCTTAATTGCCCTTTTGTAAATTACTTCAGTGACTCAGCATGCTTTGTTCGGGTTTCATCCATGTTGTGTAGTTTTTTTTTTTTAATTAATTCTTGGTCATTTTCCCATGATGCACAATATTCCATTATGTGAATGTACTACAGTTTCTTTATTCATCTGTTGATGGGCACTCAAGTTTTTCCCAACTCTTTACTATTATAAATAGTGCTGCAGTAAACATGGGTGTGGACATGTCTGTTTGTGTTGCAACTCTAATTGCCTTAGGATACCTAGTAATAGGGAGTTCAGGTGACTCTGGTGGCCTAGTGGTAAGGAGCTATGCTGCTATCCCAAAGGCACGAAGGTCTAATCCACCAGCTGGTTCATGGGATAAGGATGGACAGTCTCCTCCCGTGTGATTAAACTGCCTCTGAACACCTGCTATAGGGTCAGTTCGGACTGGACACCACCCAACAACAACAGTTGGGAGCTCTAGTAGCCTTGTTGTAAGGAATGGCACTGCCATAACAAAGATACACGGTCAGAACCCACCAGCTGCTTCATGGAAGAAAGATGGACAGTCTCCTCCCATGCGATTTACCGTCTCTGAAAACCTGCTGGAGGGTCAGCTATGAGTTGGTTCTGACTTGACATTACACAACTACCACTACCTAGTACTGGGATTTCGAGACCAAATGGTATTTTCAACTTTCTAAGGAAGCTTGGCAGCCTTCCTATGGAAAAGTCCTCTGTTTACAGAGGACAAAGTAAAACAAATTTATACCTTAAAACCAGGATGCTTGCCCACAAGTACCACAGAATCACCTGGGACGCTAATTTTCCAGGGCTTAAGGAAGACTAGAGGCTAAAATCAAGCAAGTGAGTAGCTCCGTGTCTCCTTTTGTATTTCTTCTCAGTATGTACCACTCTGATTGTGAGGTACAGACACTCAGAAGAGCAAATTGTTCAGGGTAGGAAGTAAGCTGGATCCACAAGGCATTTGCCCCCAGCATGCACTTAGGCTATTTAGCGGTTACCCTAGGTCTGAGCGTCTTTGTGACTTGTGTTGGTGTGTACCATATAGTTGGACCTACCCATAGCTGACCCTTCAGGAGGTTTTCAGAAACAGTAAATCACACAGGAGGAGACTGTCCATCCTTCTCCCCTGAAACAGCCAGTGGATTAGAATCTTGTGCCTTTGGGATTACAGCACAGTACCTAAATCACAGCCATACAGCAGCCCTACGAATGGCCCTTTTCCTCAGAGGAGCAACCAGCCTTTGTTCATACCCTGCCATTAGTACCCAGCAAGTTTTTTCTTTTTGACTACATGGTATCTTTATCCCTGATCATGACCTATTCCTAGGGTTGCAGAAAGAAAGCAATTTGCATAAGGCTGCACAGGTAGTAACGGGAAGAACAGGTATTTAAGTGTAGTTTTCTTTCTGTTCTGTTCTATGGCTTTTGGGGGTGGGGTGGACAGTAGGGACCAGGAAGGGGAGGCACTGGGGACTGGGCTGTCTGCATACTGCGCTGATCTGAGTAGCATCCAACTTGAGCTCTTATAGCTGCATTTTGACACTGGCCCATGGATGCTGAAAGATGGGATGGAAGTCCACTGACCCAAATAATCATCTCCATATTGCTGGAGGGTCATCTCCCTCCACAGCTGCTTCTATTGTAGCTCACTGATTCCTAGTAGAAGTTCCTAGAGGGAGGGGCAGCAGGTGAAGAGGGGTCTAGTGAGGGAAGCAACAGGGAAAGTAGGGACTGTATCCTATGTATAAAAATGATGACTAGGGTCAAGGGGCTTGCCTTTAATGAACATTTGGGCGTCCTAGATCCCCGAGAACTAGAGATTCTCACATTTCTCTGGAAAAAGAGTACATCTTTATTTTCTCTAAATTGTCACTGAAATCTATCCCACCTTTCAATTATGAAACTAACAGCAAAGGATAGGAACAGTTGCAGTACCTGTGATTTCAGTAGAATGTACAAGTATTTTCATACTATGTTACAGCTGTTGCAGGTGTCTCAAAATATGGTTTAGACTTATTGCTACTTCAAAATTATGGTGGTTACTATACCTGCCACCCTCCTGTTATTTACTATGTTCATAAAGAAGCAATATTGCAAATATTCTAAATATATTGCAATGTAGTAGATTTCCCTTGTCATTCTAGATATTTTATTTCATGTATTCAAAAATTATTCTCAGTTCTGAGTTAGCTATGATAATGGCAATAATGTAAATCTCAATTTCCCAGAACACCCTCTCAAAAATACACAGTTCAGCAAGATAAATAAGAGCACATAAAACCCATGTATTCATTAGCACTAGAAAACAGACATCTCTAAAAATTCATATTACCTGAGAAAATAACCAAATATGTTGCAGATAATGGAAGCCGAGTTTCACAATGTCAGAGAGGGAAGTTAAAAGAATGGGAAGGGTAAGAGTAGGATATATTTTGTGGAATTAGATTAGAACAGGAAGAATCAGTATGAACTCATGGGTTTTTTAAATTTTATTTTTTTAAATAATTTTAATGAACATTTACAGAGAATTTGGATTTCCATTCATTCATTGCTGCACTTCGCTCCCCACCCAGCCCTCTCCCCCCGCCCACTTCATGTTTTTTTTTTTATTTTTTATTTTTTATTTTTGTGTGAGTGTACCGTCAAATCAGATCTGACTGGTACAGGAGGAGATTGTCCCTCCTTTTCCCGGCAGAGCACCTGGTGGATTCAAACCGTGTGCCTCTGGGATGGATTGTAGTTGCAGCTCCTTGCCACTAGGCCACTAGAGCTCCCCTATGGTTTTTAATATGATTAGAACTCGTGGTTTTTAATATGATTAGTGAGGTTAGGAAATAAATAACTTTCCAAATTTAATTGATAGATGAGTACTAATTACAATCCTGTGTCAGTAAACATGCAAAGTGGCTTAGATCCTGATTCTTAAATACTATTTTCTACTAAAAAGGACCTTCATAGTTACTCTTACCTGTGTGGTATGGGGACCACTGAGAGACTTTTTTTTACACGAGCTGTATCCTGCTTGCTGGAACTGAGGAGCACCTGAAGCACTTGCTGCAGACCGTCAAGGACTGCAGCCTTCAATATGGATTGAAGCTCAACATCAAGAAAACAAAGATTCTCACCACTGGGCCAACTGGCAGTATCATGATGGATGATGAAGAAATTGAGATTGTTGACAGCTTCAGTCTGCTTGGCTTTACAGTCAAAACTCTTGGTATGAGCAGCCAGGAAGTTAAAAGACAAATTGCATTGGGAAAGTCTGCTGTCAGAGTCCTTTCCAAAGTACTGAAGAGCAATAATGTCAGTCTGGAGACTAAGGTGTGCCTCATAACAGTCCATGGTCTTTGCAATTAGTTGCTATGCATCAGAGATCTGGACAATGACTAGGGATGATAGAAGGAGAGCTGGTGCCTTTGAGCTTTGGTGCTGGAGAAGAGTTTTGAATATACCTTGGACTGCTAGGAAAACAAACAAGTTTGACCTGTTGTTGTT